ACATGAATATGTCAGTTGTGATCACTGGAAATAGCACACAAAGTTTCACGCATGAAGATTCGGTTTCTGAAGAGAAACAAACGTACAAAAACTACACGTTATGGACCATCGAAGGACCAGGAGGCAGAGCCAGGCGAGGCATGGAAAGAAGACGGCGTTTGGCCGGCTACGTACCAGGCGACGCAATGAGAGAATCGGGTTAAAGCGCGCGATTTCGGAGAGTGGAGAAATCGATCGGATGGATAGGCATTGGAGTTATGAAAAAGTAAGATGTGAATGCAACGAAGCAGAAGGCCAGAAAGAGCTTCTAGTGAATGCACTCCAAGAACCAAGTTTGAGCATCCCCGTCGCCAGCATTCGTGAAAGACGTCCGTGGGCAATTCGAACGCGTAGCAGCCTTTTCGAGTTTTCGAATTTCTAATCAAAACGAAAGCAATACTTCAGTTCTTTTCACTATTATCGTGGATAATGAGTCTCAAGCCAGTGATTTATGGCTGAAATAGAATCATGATTTTTCCGCGCAAGATTCCTTTAATTAGGACCACAGGCCCAAAGGAGGAAGTTACGCGGAGAGCGAGTAATAGTGGGTTAGAGTGATAAGGCCAAGCTGAATGTTGTATGATGCCGTCCTCAGCTCTGCATTTGCCATTTGTGGGCACAGAATATTTTGATGGATAAAGAATAGATATTTTTGACATATTTATATGTTTATGTTGCTTCAAGGTTCAACATTGCGCATTTTTGAAATATATATTCTTTATTAATATTAGTGTTAAATTGAATCTCAGCACTTTGTTTTGCACAAGTTGAAGTAAGATATTCGGCAGAAATTCATGTAATGTGTGATATTTTCTCCGAAAAAGTAGTATGTTATTGTGGTATCTCGTCCAATCTTCCCGTCCATCGTTTCAGTGATGGATACTCTCCCAGTCCGTTTTTCATAAAGCTTCATAACCGTTGCAATAAATAAAAGCGAATGAGAACGAAAACATAATTGGTGATCAATTTAGGTTGTTGCCCATCCCATTATTGATGAGCGACCGACCCCAGGACAGAGATACGATGATCGCCCGCGGCAGCCTATGCGTAAGTCTTTGAATTGGAATAGTGTTGTGGAGCCATAGGAACATTGCGAAATTGTGAGTATGGAAATATCATCCAGTCGATGTAGTTTTCCGTGTGTTCTATGTTAGAATTCGACGACTAGCAACTGAGTGGTGCTGGTTCGGTTAACGATTCAGCTTCGAAGAGAAACTGTTTTATGATGAATAAAAGAAGCATTAGCTACAAGAAAGATGGATTAGAATGAGCTCCTTCTTGAGCTGATTGTAATCCTGATTTGTAAGACCACTTTCTTTTACTTCCTGTACGCAATCATAGTATGTTGCATATTTTCTCTTTAGCAAATATTTGTAGCTGTTGAGGACTCTTTCTTTTCAAGCTTTATCGTTGAGCTTTCGCTGATATAAAGAGAATATTCAAAAAATGAGGCTCAGAGATAACTCCATTTTACAATAGTATGTTGCGTTAGGCGGGTGACAGACTTATGAGCAATCGCAAGTGCTGCACACGCTACAGCCAATGGCCCCATAGGTGTGTCCGAGCTTTTATACTTTACTACTTGGATTGGCTCTAAGTCTAAATCACCACCGCAAATCCTTTTGAAAAACGAATGGCAGAAAACAATGTCCATATTCCCCCGAACCCCAAAATACATTGTGCAAGTTCATTGGGTGCGGGATGGGCTTTAACTTCTATAGTCATAGACCGACCCTGAGCATCCTGAATGCCGAATGGACGGTTTGATAGATTTCCGATTTGAGGCGTTCTGGTATCTTGTCGTAGCAGAGAATTATGGTCATTGACCGCCAAGCCACCCAGGCTGCATTCACGCGAGAATTCGTTTCGAAGACCAGGCTGCCGTCAGACGCGATTGCTGATCCAAGATACTTGAATGATGTTGCACGTGTGAGCTCAGTACCATTGATCTTAATAGAGCCTTGCTCACTCGAATCGGTGGTCAAGTACTCCTTCTTATTTAACCTTTAACCTGAGTTCAAATATTGAAAGGTGCCTTTCTGTGTGAGGCCGACTGAACAATGTTTGATGGTAGCAAAATCTTATGGTATGTGCTCAGGTCAATAGTGGCATTTATTACGCATTTTTTATATGTTAATCACACATGTTCAATTTATGATTTTTAGCAACGATCGAAGAAGTGTGTCGATCTACACAAGACTCCGGCCCCTGTCAGGATTACTCAGATCAATTTTACTACGACGCTTATAAAGGTTTTTTTCTACTTTCATCTGTTCAAACTCCCTATTACTTAAAGGCAAAGGTCGGGCTCAGCACGCTAGAGAAGTAATTCCCGTGCCTGGAGGTTGTATGTGGGTAGCTGCACACATTGCAGCAACTTCCCACCTTGAAAAACGTCGTTAAGCCCCGGGGCCGTCGGTTTCAATCCGGGACCGCCCACCTCCGGAAGTGGTGCGTGGCTGGCATAACGTGTGAAATCAGCTAGGTTGATTGCCGTATCAACCGATAGAACGACTGACATCTCCAGAAAACTTGTTTGTACGTGCCTCTTTCCCAAGCCAGCCTCCTTCACTGCTAGTGGGAAAGAGGGTTTTGTTAACGGCCTTGTCGACGGTTTTTCTCAGTTTTTTCTCCACTGTCGTTCCACTTCGCATCTCTATACTCAGTTTCAATCGCCATAATACCCCCTTATTGAGCCCGACTTTTGCCTTTAAGCACCATTTGCAATTATTTTATTCACAGAAGTTGTTTTTTTCTCAGTCTTGTTAGTATGTGAGCGTCACCGTTGCAACCCTTACAATTGACCTGTATGGGTTACAAAAATGCAGATGCGATATCAACCCTTTCTTCTTAAACTATGAGAACAGTCTTGACTTTCTTTTGATGTTTCCATGATTTTTAAAGTTCGGTGAAAAGTACGAGCAGTTTCCAGTTCTTGTAGCATGGTACTACATATAGCGCTAGCTTAACTCAAAAAAAAAACACTTACTATTCAATTGGGCGCAGGTCGCAGAGTACCGAGGGCCTTCAAGGCTGGCAAACACCATTTCACAGTAGAGATATGAAAATTTGTACCACGAAAGGGGATCTACATGAGCTTGTTAAGGAACCTGCGAGACGTTTATTTATGGTGGCTGTGGGAGGAAACCTCAATCGTTTCCGTACTGAGGAAGAATGTATGCAACGCTGTGGTTTCCTAAATCCAACAGCCAGCCCCGCTCATCAAGGGCGTGAAGGTATGCTGCCTTTGTCAGTTCATGTACGCACTCATAAATGGAATTTTTTGAAAATTCGGGATACTTGCTTCCTAAGTTTTTATTTTGGACGGAGGGAAAATGGAAGTTCAGACTTTGACTATTCTTCGAGCATTTGTCTCAGTACCAAAATATTCAAGATCCGAGTCATCGAGCACAACCACAACAACCGGAATCCGATTCACCTCAGCAACCGACGTATCCGGACCAACGTCAGCAGGGACCAGTGCGACCACCACCGCCAGTCGTGCCACAGCAGCCAGGTTACGGCAGTCCCCCTCATTCAGGTATTTTTATTTCATGATTCCATGTGTTCAATGTTAATATGTTCGTTTATGGAAGAGGGCAAGCGCTTTGCCTTTTCAATAAGCATTTTGTCTACAGAGTGCTTGAAAGTGAAAACCTCTGGCAAAATTTGTTTTTACAATACAGTGAGAACACACTTTTCACCAGCCGTTCTTTGCTATCTCACCTAGTTTCATAATCATAATCTTTTCAATGACTATTACCTGTTTCATTACTATCATTCAATAATTCTGGATTATTCCCTTCTTAGCGGTCTACCGTTACCTTTCACATTTCGAACTGTTGTACATAGTTCCACTGTAATTACAAAATGCAACATCCCCATCAAGCTTTTTCTGTTATCATGATTTTGGTATCCAATTTATATGTATTCAGTGAAGTCACGGCAGTCTTGCCATTTGCCACTCGACGTCGGCAAATGTCAAGGCTCGTTTGACAGTTGGTATTATGAGATGGCGACTGGCTCATGCGTTGAGTTCAAGTACTCCGGATGTTCTGGTAACGCGAACCGATTCGCTACTCGGGAGGAGTGTGAAAGCACCTGCGTTCGTCAACCTGAATCACACCCAGGTATTTTTTGTTCATTATTCTTAGGTTTAGAATACTGTGTCCTAGTTTCTCCTTTTGTCAAAAGAAAGGATATTTCAAGATGCTG